ATGAAAAATACAAGCACTGATTTCTTATATAACCGCTGTACTGCCAACACTAGTGCTCTGGGGCAGACAACTGACCCGTGCCTTTCAGGAGCAGGTGCTGCCCAGCGACTTAAAGCCAATGCTCAGCGCCCAGGCCCAGGCTGGGGCAGTGCCAGGCCAGGCCCCAGGGTAAATCGGAGCTTTCTAAATCATCCTGGGTGTCGAACATTACACAAGCCAGCTACTGGCTTCAGGAGGCCACTACTGACAGTGAGGGAGAGCAGGGACCCAACAAAGTCCAGGCTGTGACAGCAGACTCGCTCCCAAATAAAATCCAAAAGCATTATACTGGGTCTCCAATACCAAATCAATCCTCCAGCACCCTCCTCCTGCAGCTCCTTCACCAACTCCCCTCCAAAATGCAAAATAAGAGCACTTAAATAAACAGAGCAAATAAACACACAAAAAAAAGCTCCTCTGCAGCCCGGCAGAACAAAGCAGGCTGCTCATGAAACCGGATCACAACCAGAGTGTCAGTAGTTTCTATTAAAAAATAAAGGCTGAAAGTAAGCCATAGCATCTGTGGACTTGGACACAAACATGTTAAAAATAAAATTGAGCTGTCTAAAAAAGCTACTCTGAAAAAGAAATCACTGCAGAAAAAACACCAGTTAATCCCCCTTCAGCGCTCCCCTTGAAAGGTCCTCCTGACTAGAGGCTTGCTAGTCACTGCTATCTGAGCACCGACAGCTAATTAACAAGGAGGAACTGCTCTACGTTATTAGTTGCAACATATTAATTTTACTGTTATCTTGATCTCATGTCCTTTCACAGTCTTTTGCCAGATTCTTTCCATTTGTTGGGCCCTGTCATTTTCCCAGACTGCAAGGTCTCTAGACAGGGTAATTTGTTTGTGCAGTGTCTAACACAAAGGCACCATTATCCTCACCAAACTTCAGGTGCTCATGTGAGGAAGACCCATTACAATGTTGCTTTCAAAAGTTCTCACAGCATTTTATGACAGTACACCTTACTTAAAACTCACTCACAACTTCGAAGTAATTAAAAGTATTTAGCTTCCGAGGAAAAGAGAAAAAAAAAAAGAAGATACAATTCTTTAACCTGCTTGTTTTATGACCTGAGAGATCAATAGAGTATAAGGAAAATATCAACGAGGAAATATTTTTTCTTTTGTTTTCTTTCTCCCTTTTCCTCCACACACTATCTTCTGATTCATATGTCTTACTCTTACTGTACTTTATCTTGTCCCTCTGCATCCCTACAGTTTTTTCCTCAGAGAGTCAACACTTAAAGAACTTCTAGTTGAGTATTAGTTAGAAAAAAAATCTAAAGGGAGAAAAAAAAAAAAAGGCTTAGCTCTGAGAGCTCAATTCTGTACCCATAATATTCACTTTTCGAGAAACAATCTGGTATATGAAGGGGTGTATGTAAACAAACATCATTCATTTCTGCTTCCAGTGCTACATATTTACTTATAGGATGGATGCATTTAAAAACACCCAGTGATACTGAGTATTAGAAAGTAAGTTTATGTTCAAACTCTGAAAATTAATTCCAAAAAATTTACAGTTTATACCATCATAATTATTGATGAGGTGAAGTTCATATAGCACACTGAATAGCTCCTCTTATGAGGACTTAAGTGATTTTCATACCAGGAAAGAAGTGCTCTAATATAATTCCAGCTCATATTAAACTGCAGAGGGATATATATCTCCCTTGAACAAGACACATGACAGCAATGAAAAGGAAGTTGAGAATCCCTAAAGTGAGAATTATTTTATATCCTCAAAACAAGTTTTTATTCACCTCTTGGTTGAATGAGCATTTGGGGCTTTTTAACATCTTCCAAAGGGCTCTTCCAAATGCACATCTTCCAGCATTTTAAGTGTTTCACATGTGCTTGAAATAACATAGAAGATATTTTATTTAAAATTTCTGAAAGGTAGCTTTTCCTTTTAGACACCAAGCCCCAAGAAAGGCATATGAAGTAAACCTGCTTGTAGCACAAATGGGTTAAAGATGAATTTGACCTAATTACTGCCTATAATAATGATTAAAAAAACTCCAACAAAATCTTTTAGTATTTTAAAATGGAGAAATACAGAACATACTTCTGAAATTCCTCAAATTCTGGGATTTTTATATTTACACCTTAATATCTTGTCTTAAATATAGCCAGTGAAACTATAATACATAATTAAGACTGTTAAGCTGCGGTATCATCTTAAAAGGATTATTATTCATTGCTAATTTATAATCTGTTTTGAATATAGAGCTGTGTAGCAGAGACTGGTAACCATTTGCCTGATGCAGCAGCTTTCTATACATCACACAATTTTGTGATGTGGTGTCTTTTGAGAAATGCACCTCAGTACGAATGCCTCAAAACTCCATAGGCTGAGGCAGGTGAGCCAGTGTAAATTCAGGCTCAGAGACGCAACATTTAAACCAGCTTTTAGCTTTTTCTTTTTACACCAAACTGCAGTGACAGATAAAGGAAGACTACAGAGATTACTACAGAGGACTTCTAGACATAAAAAGACATCAGGAGTGTAAAGCAAAACAGTGGTTGGTCTTGTCGATGACTGTGTGGACATCTGTCACAGGTCAAACCACCAGCCAAACCTGTCATGACCAGCAGGGAGCTATGAAGAGGAGTATGATCTGGTTTTGTTTGGCTGAGCAAACATTTGGGGAATAAACAGTACAGGAAGAAGAGCATAAAACTCAAAGTTGTGTTGAAAAGGAAGGTATCTGGAGGTATCTGGCTGAGAGGGTTTCTAGCTCTTTGGAATGGAAATGTGGACATTTGATGGTTTTAGGGGTGAGAAAAAGCTCTATTTAGAGAGTTCTCCCGCTGATGGAATGGAAATCTACATCTCTTCCAGATGATCTGGCTCTTAGACAGTCAGTGCTACTGTCTCTGCCAGTATATGACAGTCCCTTAGTTCATAACACCATGGCCTTGCTCCCACTCGTTGGTACTAAAGGCAATTCTGAAAACCTGGGAGATGGGAAGGGTTGTGTCATCCTTACTAGGTGAGTCCAACACACACTCACAAGTGAAGTTCAGGTAATCTTTATGCCTGATGTTGTCCGACTAGATGTCAAGTCTCTTTGCCTTTGACTCAGTGCCAGTACAGTTAGTACAAAGGCTACTAAAAGAGAGGAAACCTGGATCTGCAATCTTGCTATCCATACTGGTAGTCACGGGACTGTTCCAGAGAGATTCTCAGCTGAAAAACCAAAGGAACAGCCCATGGTCACCACTGCACTACAACTGATGCCTCCTGTTGTTGCACTTTCAAAAACATCTTTTCAAGTAATAAACATTGTTTTCATGGACTGTTCCAAAAGAAGCAATGTAAACTCTGTCCTTCACCTAAAATTGAAGGGAAGGAACAGCAAACGAAACAGTTCAGAGACATATCCCTCCTTGAAGAGGAAGCGCATACACCGTGCCTTGTAACTGAATAGTCTCAGACTACAGCTTTTTAATAGCTTTATATGGACACAAAGTGGTGACTTCCCCCTATCCACACATCCCACCGCCTCAACTTTTTCAGAACTAGGGTTTATTATGCACTGACAGACCATGAATAGGATCCAGTAATTTCTTGAAGTTAGCTATTATTGCTCTGCTTTGCTAATGTGGTATGCTGTCATATAATGCCTCACATATATTTATAGAAGTAATTGAGTATATCCTACCCTCTAGTTACCTAGGTGACCAGTGCTCAGAAAGGTTCTTTCACAGTACGCTGACTTCTTCATGTTTGTGTCTCAACTAGCTTCTGCTATGAGCCATCCATGTATTCAAGCTTTCCCACTTACACAGTTTTTGGTCTTTTCTGTGTTCTTTATGACTGTCAGAAAAAGGACAGTCACTGAGCACACACTACTGACCACACCAAATTAGGAATCAGTTGTTCAGCTCTAACTGTAATGTGACATCCTCTTTCCGAAATAGCATGAAGATTTTCTTTCATGCACATTTCTGGGCTCTTTTTTTGGTCCACAGTGTATTTCAAGAAAAGCCTGCCTGAGGAACATACTAAACCCAACCACAGAGAAACTGCCACAGAAACTTACTGGAAAACATTAAAAATTAAATAGCTTTCTTAAGAGCTCTCAGACTTAATAGTAAAACTTATTAAAATTGTCTATACTGATTTAATTTGTAACAATTCCATTTCAGACAACTTTGCTCGGTTTTTGGTTAGGATTTCAAAGTGAAACTTTTTTTTCCTGGCTGCTAATAGCTGTACACTTCTCCCATCTCAGACACTTGGCAGAGGGGTGGGAAGAAGATCACCACCACTATTTGAAGTGGTGGTCAGAAGATCCAGATGAATTCAGACTGCGGGAGAAGCATACTCCAAAACAAAAGTATCCTCACACAAAACTCTTTTGGCAGGTACCGTCCTAGCAACTGAATCAACAGCCTCTAAGCACAAGAGCCTTGACCGTTATTTTTACACTGTTGATACCTCTGTCTCTCGGATAAACAGATGCATCTTAAGATGCTCAGTGTCAAAACAGCAACTTCAGTGAGGCTACCCAAAAAATCATCAACACAATAACAGCAACAGGAGCATGCTTATGGGAAGATACTAAATCTTCACCTAACATCCCCAAATGATTCTCCACTTCCTCACTTGTTTCATTTTCCAAACGGGTTTAAAGGCATAATACAGCAGCTCTTGGGTGAAAGCAGAAACATATAAGCAGTGGAAATTTACTTTCACAGTATGCTATGGAACATACATAAACATCTTTACTCAAACAAGCTGAAGTCCCAAGTTTCATATGTGTAATGCCACTAAAGTCAATGGAGTTACACCTGTGAAACCAAAAGGTGAGCAAGCACTCACTAAAGACAACATTCACACCCTTGCTCTTTTGAGTCTTTTGTCAACAGAACGAGCTTGCGTATCGTAACGCATTTTTGTTTCTGAAAATTCAGCGATGAACAAATAAATTTTGTGTTAACATACCTTGAAGTTGCAATTTCCACTTTGGTTCTTGCCATGGCAGCTGCTCGCTGTGCACCCTCTATTGCTCTGTCCACCTTTTCTCTAGTTTTTGTGTTTCGTATTGGTATAAGTTGCTTTCTTATTCCACGGACCAAAACGTTATTTTTGTATTTTCCTTCTTCTTTGGTGCCATCTGGAAACATGGTACATCCATATCCATGCCTCCTGTTATTTAGCCATTCTCCTTCGTATTTCATACCATTTGAACGCTCGCTAATACCAAAACCACTGCGCTTATCATTCTTCCATTCACCCATATAGGTTTCTGTAGTGGTGGCATCAACATGGTCTTCCATAGGGCAATAATCACAGTCACCGTCTCCAAAACTAATTGTAGAGTTGGCATCACTGGAACTAATTCTGCTCATGGCAGCATCGCTCCTGACGGAGCTCCGTTTGCTAGATATCGATGACCTAGATTCAGATTTTCTAAGTTTTATACTACCAAGAAGGGAACCTCTTCTGAATAAGCCTCCTTTTTTCTTAATGCCCATGGCTTCTGGATCACTGTGAAAATTGAGCACAAAACCTCCTCTTGTTCCAGCCGGACTGTCTGAAGTGACATCATGCAGAACAGTGCCGTTGCTCTGCTCACTTCGAAGTGAAGCTAGAGACGTTCGGAGGGGTGAACGTATCACAGTTGCCATGCCATAGGGTACACTCTGACGTACACCATATCCATGTCGCATCCCTCCTGTCCATTGTCCCTGGTATGTACCTTTTAAAGCAATAAGGAGAAATTAAATTTAGGAAGCTGTAGAAGACCTAGTACTCTATGTGCAGTATGCTACAGGCAATACTATGTTGTCAGCTCCATTTTTGGTAAGAAGAAATGCAGAAAAATCATAGCATATCACACAGCACATAAAATACTTTTGTTGCTTGTTTCAGTTATAAATTATTCTTCCACTTAACAAAGCCTTCACTTTCTCAGCTGAAGTGATTTATTTTGGCAACTAAGACACAGTAGCTATAATCATAAGCATTTTTTTAATGCACCTGTTCATGGAAAAATTTTCAATAGAAATTTCTAAAGCAGGACTCCCTCAACATTTTTTTAAGGTGGTCAGATGGGGAGAAGCAAAGCCATGTTATATGGGGTCAGGTGGGGAGGGAGACAGGGATGGAGGGAGAGAAGGGAGCAGGACACTCATGGCACTTGCCTCCAGCTGCTGACAGAAAGCACAAATAGGAGTAAAAAACATCCTGTTATCCTGGGTTTAGGGTGACTACAGACCTCCCTTGTCAGGATATATGTGACAATCCACTAAATTGTCTTGTCTTCAGATGGGCCTTTGCATCCACTGTTACAAACCTCTATTGTAAAATTAAATACTTTGAAATTTTTTCAGGTACTTGAATGGAAGAACAAAACCTCAGTCTATCTTACACTTTATGAACTCTTGATATCAACACTTTTTGGTATCCCCACTATCGTAAACATGGCACTGATTTCTGCATTACGTTGTGACACAAAGATCAGAAACATGAATCCTTTAGCATTTTTTTTGCCTTTCATTTTTTCTGCGGTACATAAGAAAGACAAGCAGTGATAAACAGAATATTGCACGTCATTCTATCATAAATATATTTCATTGTTGCAATCATAATTATTTTTGTGATTAAGAACAGCAATATACGGAAGAGCAACATGGTATTTGATACGACAAGTCATAGATATCCATGCAAAGCCGCATCCGAGCCAAACCCCAGCATTATCAGATTACTACTGCAGATAATTTTTTTTCTTGTATTCTCGAAAGGCATTTTTGTTTTGACGATATACATACTCCAATGTCTAGTCTCTGAAAGCCAGTTGTACCAGATGTTCCAAAGGAAGGTGCCAGGAACCCCACAACTGGCAAATACAGGATAATTTGTTTTCTAAGATCATTTCACTCTAATTCCCATTAAACTGCTTTAAGCTGCTCAAAATGAAGTCTTTCGCCCACCTAGAGCTGCTTCTTTTTTTTTTTTAAATAGCTATTCTGAGTCTGAATAATCTTACAGAAGGATGAATAAGCAATCTTTAAAATACCTTTCTTTGATTTTGATCTGCTTTAATTGGAACACCTATTAAAAACTATTCTTCAGAGAACTAAATATCAAATGTCAAATTCAGTGATTGACTACATTTTTCTGAAAATATTTGTGAAATATCTGCAGTTTTAGATGTAGCTCAAAGCTTCATTTGCTTTGAGATTCCATCTCCCTTGTATAAACATACTGTTTTGGTCATGTATGTGTCAATTATCTATCAATTACTGCTTTAGTGTAGAACCTCATCTGCTAAGTTATATTTCAATGTTAACATGCAATTAAATTTACCAAGTGTGTTTTCTTTATTATATAATACTAAATAGGTTCCACAACATAACTATTTTGGGTCAGAAGAAAATTCTACCAAGTGGAAGGTTTTTGTTTTAACAGATGGCTGCTGACAGAAACAAACAACTTACTTAGTTTCTTTTCTCATTCTCTGTATCCTGGATACCTACTGCTGCACTGATTTTAAGGGTGCTGAATCTAGAAACATGATTATTTAAAAAAAACTCAGCATATGGAGAAGAACAAATAGAAACATGAGCACAAAGCACTGGTATGACGTATTCTGTAAATACTGCAAAAATACAGCCATGTTGTAATTTTTTTTCTCTATTAAACTGACATTTCCTAGAACTACATTAATATTTTATAAGTATAAATGACTACATTTGTCCATAATTATATCTGGGATCCCCCTAGTATCATAGTAATATGCTGGAGCTAAGAATCTGGCTATGTATACTTACTGCTACGCACAACAATCTGTCTAACATTCTGCACCAGTTAATTTCATTTAAAAATAATAAATCTAATTCTAATTTTGATTACATCACAATATTACATTAGAGCAGCAACTCATAATTATGGCTCTCCATGTTGCTATTTGCGTGTCAGACTCGAAGCAGAATCAACTTATTTCAGTATGGAATTTTATTAAAAGTACAAAAGGTCAGCCTTTTTTCTTACTAATATTTTGTTTTAATTCATAAACTTGGAAAGCTCAAAAATATTTCATTTAGGACTTGTATTTTTCAATACTCTGTAGGAAAAAAGTGGAATTGGTGGCTGTTGCCCATAAAGGCATTAATACAAGGACAACTGATGCGCTATTTACTTATACAATTTTTCTTTCTACCAGGGAAATAAAATCAACGCCAGCTTCTGCTAAAGAGAAAATAAGTCAATGAGAAAATGGAAGAGTCATACTGAATTGGTTCTTTAGAAAGCACCAAAGATATTTAGTTGGAATTTTGTGCAGTCTTGCAGGTAACAACTATCTCTTCTGTCATTACAAATACACTAAGGGAAAGGCTTTGATACTAGTGCTAGAAAGCAGATTAATTTTCCTTGATTTTTTCAACTGACATTTCAAAGGAAAAATATTTTACTGGCATATGGAGAGCAGTGTCCAGAATGTAGACTACAAGAGACTTGTACAATAATTTGACTGACAATATAGGACTCTAACTGTATCATCTTCTTCAACAGAAGAAACGTAAGAAAACATAAGGCATCTTAATATTGCAATATAATTAAATACTACAGCATATAAAACATGACAAAAACGCTTTTCCCATATATGAAGATGCAAACATATGCAATGTTTACCTATCTGTATACAGAGATAAAACTGTCAATGATATATCAACAAGCACACCTCTTCCCGTTTCACCTTATACTATAACTGACGGTTCAAAGCAGTTCCAGTAAGGATCAACTGTTGAAATTTTAATTAACACTAATTTAAAACTGTATTTGACCATAACACAGTAACATTGTTCAGCATTAATTTTTGAAAAGCTAGGCTTGGTATCCCTTGTAACTGAAGGATGTAATTCAGTCACAGCTTCTACTGACCATCCATCTGGTGTTTAATTGGTTCCCCTGAAAAGGTGTTCCTATTTTGAGCCTGAGAACTAGTAGAAAGTATATTTTTTCTTTTTTTTTTTTTTTGTGGGCAAGTTGCTGTAAGGTAATTTCCTAGCCCGTCTCCTTAGAGTTACATTGTTCCATTCCTCTCAAAAAATCCTGGGTATATCTTACAGCTTTAAATGTTATTGCCTACAGCTAAAGATCTACAGCTAAAATTTAAACTTACACTGTGTGAAAAAGCTGAGGCCAAGGACCTCATAACTACTTCTCTTGCTCTTATCCTTTATTTACATCGCCTGTGGTTTAACAAATTGATTGTTACATCAAGATTTCTGCATGCTTTTCATACTCCAATGTTAGATAAGCATGCATCTGGAAAGAAGACTACTTAGAAATCAATGAGCACGTGTACTACTGGTGACCTTTGCTTAAGGATGCATTTGCCACTGACTGACCTCTGTGGAATGACAACGCACAATTCTACAGCAAGATTCTTGTTATTGCTATTGGCGGGATCACAACATGCTAACTAATTTACACATACTGAAGTTTCAAATTAGGCCTTAATCCCTCTACAAAAAATGCTCAGGTAGGCTCACAGATTCATACATTCAACAAAACCTAGGGAGTTTAAAGGAAGCACAGAAGCACAGATTGCTGTAGGGAACAACCTGACAGGCCACTTGAAGGCCCAGCAAAAGCACATGCAATGAATGGAGGATCATGGTTTATAATTCACAGTGTTTTCCTCAGGGATTTGACTGAGTGACAATTTTAAGCATTTAAACACAGCATGACATGTATTACTCATGTTGTGCAAAGTGGTGTGCGCAGACACACTGAGGAACACTGTCAACGCTTATGTTCCTTTTCTCTCCTCTCAACTACATCTCCCAATACCACCAATGCATTTTAAAATAACATATTGGGAAAAGGAAAGGGGGGAAAAAAAAAGAAAAAAAAAAGCAGCAAAAAGGCCTAGATTTTAGTGAGTTTGAAAACAAAGTGGCAACTGTCATAGTCTAAAAAGTTATTTCTCTATGCCACTACTCTCAGGTCATAATAAGGGAAGAGCTTTCCTGCAAATATTTCACAGTATGTTAAAGATACATATGTAAATCTGGTTTCCTTCTAAAAACATTTCAGACATTCTTCTGGTGTACAAACATGGCTATTGTTCCCAGAGCACGAAAACAAAAACACATCTGCAAACATCTATGACGTACTGCTCTGCTTCATTCATGAGTACTTTCATTAAAATCAATGGGACTTCACACCCTCTGTTCATATGAACCAAAACACGTAAAAGACTGGGTCTATGGTAACAGATTTCAGTTAATAGCACTAGAAATCTTACAGTATAAACTGCACACTTCATATGCTGTTTTGGACAAAGGATTTCCTGTAGGGTTTGAGGCTAAAAATTTAGAGAATTCACCTCCAATTATCAACATCACATTGAGATTTTTAAAATCCACAAGAAATCTAAAGAAAAAGATAAAAAGAATTTTAGCTGGAGAAAATCACTCCTAGAAAATTTACTGAAATGGCAATTTACTTTTCTGGAAAGGTAAAAAAAAACCAAAAAACAAGACAGTCACTGCAAATTCAGCTTTTCTTCAGCTTCTAACTTATTAGCCAAAAGAAATGTAATAAAAATGGAAGTCTATTGTGTGGCGAAAGCAAAACTAAAATTCTGATCGCTTTCTTTTTTTTTTTTTAATCCCCAGACACATATCTCGGCTGACTATGAGCATCAGAACTTTCCACACCAGGAAATAATTTTCAGACAGCTA